GCTTTAGAACGCTTTCTTTCAAGCTGAATCACACAGGACAAAGTTCATCCTTGCTGTGACATAAGTAGTTATTAACGACTTGACACCATGTCATAAATGTGAATATCATTATTTACAAGCTTCTGTAATACTTTATTTGTCCCTTGTCAAAAGAACTGTCTAATTTCTGCCAAGATGGAATCTCAGCTGCATTCTTAGCACCTAATATCACCAGCCTTTGCATCTTAGGGCGAGTCATGAACCCCACGTCTAGAAATGACTGCATTGCCTTGGTAAATTTTTCAGTAATACCAGCCCAACCTCAGTTTATCACTTGTTGCTCTAAAAAAGAGCGTGTTTGGAATGTGAGAAATTACATGACAGATTTTTAAACTAAATGAGATTTAGGGAAAACAGAATAAAGATAGCATATTCAGTCAAGGTAGAGATCTGATCATGAAACCAGGGAGAATTATAAAAAGATAGGACTATAAAGTGATTTGGTATATGTGCTCCACCTGTTTAGCGCCATTTACACTTGTGACTTCGCTTTCCATCTCAGGATGTAACTTAGTGGTTGTGAGTGTGAGGGTGGGTGTAAGTATTAAAAATGTCAGAATGTGATCTCAGAAAGCAACTTTTGCTCTGATTCTAGATGTGTTCACGTACTCTGTTTTACACAGGTGGCTTGTTTGACCACAGTTGAGCTTTCAAAGGTGTGTTCTCAAGTAATGTTTTGTGAGTTTCATCCAGGATATAAACTTCTGAATGCACAATCACTGGGTTTTTTTGTGCTTACTGACTGAAGAAGCCCAGTTTCTTTTAACATCAGATGCAGGGGTGATAGGAGGATTCCCTCATTTCCTGCAGAAATGCAGCTCATGCACACTTTTGCTGGGCTTTCCACTGCCCTTGGTTTTCACTCTTAACACCTTTGGTTTAACACCCATCCTCCCACCAAAGCTTCTCTTTTTTACTGGATCTAACCATGTATCAGATCTGATAAGAAGCTCAGTCATTAGCTCATCCGCAGCTCTTTCTAGAGATTAAATATGCTCAGTTGAACCACTCACGGCCACCTTTCCATTCACGTTCGTTTCAGGGAGCTCTTTCATAACCTGTGTAAAGTGTAATGTTAAAATGAACCCTAGTTTCCTGTTATGACAAAAAGGGTGGCAGGATTTGTTGTTCTGCAGGTGTGAAAAGTGCCCAGAGCTTTGTGCAGTTTTTGGAAGGTGAAGGCTCTTTTGATCTCCCTGCTTAAATCTGTGTTCAGGGGAATGTTTGCATCTGTGCTTTGTGAGGTGGAAATAATGACCTCAAAAACTTTAAAAGGCAACTTCAAAAAAACCCCTAACATTGGAATTGGCCATTATTCATTGTATTGTAGAAGAACTTCATTGCTGCTTATTGCCCCAGAGTAGTAAACATAAGCAGCAATGTGACGTTGAGCCAGTGCTTCTTTCCTCCCCATCTCCTGCATACGCACACACTATATTAAGGCATTGGCAGTACAGAACCAAAAAGTATTCCCATCGCTGTCTTCCTCTGGGAAGCTTTAGCAGCCTTCAGAGGGCAAAGTTTGGATATGTTCAAGGGTTTAGCCGTAGAGTGGCTGGAACTGTCTCCTCTTGGAGCACGGAGAATTTATATGAGAGGTAGAGGGAGCTGCTTTCCCTTTTAATTGGGTGAGAGAGAAGAAAGGCATTTCTTGGGCTGATACGATATCTTCTCACAGCCCTCAGCTATGCAAGAAAAGGATGGCCTTGCTGGATGGTAGCCTTGAGCCTTCTGCTGGCTTAGGAAACTGAACTGTTACTGTGTGCCTAGGAAGCTTCCCAAGTCTATGCTTGCAATCCCAAAGCGGTGCCTGCCTGCTGAATGAGATGTGCTGGTGTGCATGAGGCAAGGCACCTCCTGTTAGCAGCACTTTGGTTTACTTGAAACATTTATTTTCCTTGTGCAGAACACCGCAACATGCCCCAAGCTGATGCCATGGTGCTGGTGGCAAGGAATTACGAGCGCTACAAAACAGAGTCACGGGAGAAGGAGCGCGAGGAAATTGCCCGGCAGGCTGCCAAGATGGCAGATGAAGCTATTCTGCAGGAGCGGGAGCGCCCACCCCCCATGGAGGAGGGTGTCAGAGGAGGTCACCCTCCAGGGATTCAGACTCTCTTGAACCTGCTGGCAGACAATCGTTATCTAACTGCTGAGGAAACCGATAAAGTAATTAATTACTTGAGAGACCGGAAGGAACGGTTACTGAGGGGAAGCACTGATTCTCTGCAGGGTAAGTTTCTCCGCCCCGGACAAAGCTATTAATCATACGGTTTGTGGGCCCTCTGGCCTGGGACAGGAAAACAGTCCTTGGATTGCAGAGGAATCCTAGTGTTGTAACTTCCTCACACAGCACCTCATTTTATTGAGATGGATGTGTCCTTCGGAGTCCTGAGACAATTCAGATCTTTCATGTGGAAGAACTTTTATACTGGATTCTCTCAGGGAAACCACAGGACTGCCATAACTGATTTGGCTGCTACATAAAGGGCAACAGTTCTGCTGAGTGGTTTGGGTTCCCGAGAGCTGTGCAGCCCTCGTCTGCAGAGGGTGGGTATTCATTGATGCATGTACCTTTGGTAGCTGTTTCACTGGGTTTCTTTAGGTGCCCCTTCAAGGGCATTTGCAGAGCTTTAACCCTCTTTCCTTTCTTTCCCAGCATCCATGTCAAGACAGTCTTTGGGGGCACCTTCAGGATCATCTCTGGGTAGTCAGTCCAGCCTTCCAAGCTCTCAGGCTCATCAGAGTTCACAGCCTCTGGTCTCTGCTCCTCCTGTTCCAGTGTCCTCTTCTAATCCTCAGCAGGAGCTTCAAGCAAAAATCCTCAGTCTCTTCAACAGTGGGGCAGCAGCGGCAGCTGCTGCTGTAGCAAACAGCAGTGCTGTAGCAAACAGCAGTTCTGCAGCCTCTGCGGGCACTTCGGGCGGCACTCCAAACCAGAACTTCGCTAGCATGGCCAGCAGTCAGGCACGGTCAGCACAGATGAATGCTGGAAATTTAAACCAGGCTCAGCAGAGATTGCAGACTCCAAGCACGCAGCTTCCTGCTCTCCAAGGCCCTTCAAGAAATGCAGGTCCAAGACCTGGAGCTCCTCCACAAGCTCAGTCACTCTATGGTCAGCACCAAAATCGCCTCCCTGCGCCTGGCAACGTACCTGCTCAAAGGCCAGTATCTTCTGGTATCAACTTTGACAACCCTAGTGTACAGAAAGCCTTGGACACCCTTATCCAGAGTGGTCCTGCACTCTCCCACCTAGTGAGCCAAACCGTCGCCCAGGGGCGAGCAGGGTCCTCAGCCCAGCAACCTATGAGTTCCTACCAGCGACACTATTAAAGCTGAGCCATCAGGCCCTTTCCCCTTCCCTTTGCCATTCCATACTTATAGCTGTTCAAAGAGTCTCCTGTCCTTGACACAGGACAAATGCCCCTGGATATGCATGTCCTCTCCACTTTGGTGAGAGCGTACCCCCAGTGACATTGCTGCTGACTGTTGCTAGCGCTGCCCTTCCTCACCTTGGTCTGGTTAGCAGTGTTTGGAGAAGTATGCTCTATTTTCTCAGCAGCACGATGTGCTAAGAGCCACTTTGGCTAATCGGTTATTTTGTCCAGTCCCAGAAGCTGCTGCGATGACAGTCCTTCTGCATTTTCTTCACTCCTAGTAGCTGGCACATCTTCACATTGCGGTGCAGTCTGATCTCGCTGAATGGTCTTAGTATAGTTTTGGGTCAGTGGTTTTGAGGAAATAGGGGAGTGAACAGAGTGGTACACTGACTGGGCCTTCTCGGAGACCCACCTTTTTGGAATGGGCACTATTTTCCTTTGAATTTCTTTCTTTATTTCTTTTTTTAATGGCATGTAAACCAGTTGGAAAGTACAGTGGTAGCGCTAGCAGCTGAACTCATGAAGCACATGCTTGACCACTACTCAGTAACCCAGGACTGTGCTCTTTGGTCCTTCCGTAGCTGGGCTGTCATGTCCTGGCAGAGTGAGGCAGAGAAACACTCCTTACCTCGCCCAGCTCACAGAAACTGGCAGTTTCGGTCTGAGTACTGTGGCAGATTTGAAACACAAGAGCTTCCAGCCAAGGCGGAGATTTCAAACGGTCTGTCAGTTTTCCTATACCAAGTAGTCAGTGTTGAGATCAATCTGTTAAATTTGGCATATAAATTTCCTTTTCTTATAATCTTTCTTTGGGATAGTTGGTTACTGTAGCCCAACAGCTCAGCCGCAGCCATGCTGATGTGCTGCTGCCCTCCCCTTGGGAATACCTGCGGCCAGTTACCAGGTGGTGAATGTCTGCTGTCTGAAACTGCATCTCACTGTTGATTGGTGTTTTGTCCATCTAAGGTGGAGAGGCAGTGCCAAGATGCAATACCATAATTTTATACATTTTTTTCAACACTGCAGTGGACAGTTGAGTGGAAAATCGGGCAGTGGTTCTTCACCGTGTTTTTAACCAGTTACGTACTTTGATACCAGAACACAACACATCTCTTAACTATGTGGTCCTCCCCATCATGGCCTTCTTAGAGTCTGAAGGCTTCCTGCAGAGAACCAAAAGAAACTAAGAAGGCAGTGTTCTTGGAGCAGAGGATTTTTCTTTGTCCCAGGTGGTTTGTGTTGTAGCATTTTTTTTCTCTCTGTGCTGTTAACAAGAGGACATTACTTTCTAATAAAAAAGCAGGAAAAACGTTTTGTTGCATTTTTGATGCTTGACAGCTTGAGTATTACTGGAATACATTATTCCACTGTGTCTGCCGTTACTCTCTTCCAGATAAGCTATGTCAGATACTGCTGAGCGCTGAATGCTAAGCGGAAAGCATACAAACCTTACTGTGACCCGCTGTGAGAATACTGCAGTCTGTCTCAGTTTGTAATGCTTTGGTTTTGAAGTACCTCACAGATACTTTTTCTCGCACGGCAGACTCAGATGACCTCGGGCAGAGCAGCCCACCTGCCTGTTCAGGGACACGTGTGCTGGAGCAGGGGTGTGTGGCAGGGGCCAGCAGGAGAGGTCCAAAGCCTCTGCGGCGGCTGGTGGTGGGAGGGGAGGGTGTGTGTTTGGGCCAGCAACAAGCTGGTCCGGTGTCCGTGCCACAGTTGCTGTTAATTGTACAGCTGCTGCGTGAAGTTAGGGATACAAGTCCCTGTGCATTTAGCACTGGCCGCCTTTGACTTTGTGCTGCCTTTACTACACAACCTGGAATTGGATGGAAGTACACCTGTCTTCCATGTTTCCTCCTCCAGTCTTTTTGTTAGATCCCTTTCTCCGTCTCTGCAAACCTGCAGGCAGGTAAAGCATCTTTGCTGGGGTGATGAGAAACTTGCGTGAGCTTAAACATGGAAACTGTGACACTTGGGAGAGGCTGTGCCTCTCCTGATGTTTTGCTTCCTCTGCAATTTGCTGCTCACTGTTCGGACTTGCTCCTTGTTATGCAAATGGTAGCAGCCAAGTGCAAAATAACTGTGGAGACCCTAGAAGCAAGTGAAGACTCCCTGTGCAAGTAGTGAAGGGTGTAATAAAATCATTTATTGCATTTTGTGCAGACAGGAGTCTAGAAAAATGAATACAGTTAAAGCAGTAAAGCATTAACAGGGAGCATTCAACAGCTGAGGAGCCACTCCTCCATTAATACCTGCACAGAGAACACAGGGTCTGTACTGAGGCAGCCTAATGCACAATACTGAAACACTCACAGAAATTAAATGCAAGCCTAATACTCTTTTTTTTTTTTTTGGTTTGCAACCTGTTTTATTTACAAGGTTTTAAACTTAATTGCATTGCTCTGCACACAGATTCTCTAGAACACAAAGCATACTAGGTCACTACATGTCTATTGAAATATTGCACTCGAAGAAAAGTCACTTGAATGGACGTAGAACATCTAGCTACAGTGATTAAAAGATTATTGAATGAACTGACTTTGTGATAACATTCATAACAAATATATTGCACATGTAGCACAGAAAGTGGTGTAACCAGCAAATCTCAGACCTTTTGGTCTTTCTGCTAGTTTTTAGTCCTGCTACACAGAGGAGGGTCTTGACTCTTCTAGTGCAACTCTTACCCTTGTGCAGGATCCAGCCCTTCCTCTCGTCCAGCCATGGACCAACACCAACCCAGGATGGATGCTGCCTGTGCCTCCTGTAAGTGCTGTCTTGCGGATTGTTGCCTGCACCACGTCGACGTGAGCCACCTCCTGCTGCTGCTGGGGGGAGGCCTGCGCCCGCCCCGCTGACAGGGACAGGGCAGCTCCCCGCTCAACGCTCCCGCAGCAGGAACTGGAGCAGACGCCATCGCCGGCCTGGTGCTGCATGCTGGCTGAACACAGCTGTGGCTATGCGTGCTCCCCACCTGCTGCGGGCCACGCTGCCATCCCACCGTCCTGGCAGGTCTTGTCTGCTCGGTGCTGCTCCCAGCAGCAGCCTGCCTGTGAAACAAACTTGGGGGTCAAGACCTTCCTGTCTGGAACAAAAACTGAAATGTGTCTGCGCATGTGCCAAGGAGGAACTTGCATGTCTACCAGAGGAGGACACTGTCTTCACCAAGGTGGAACAGCAGAAGGGTGCTCCATGGGGAAACTGAACACTCTCGGAGGCCAAACGTGCAGGGCTGGGTTTGTAAACTAACATGCAGTGCTGTCTGCTAAAACTGGCCCTCTCCAGCCAATTGTGAGTGAGAACTCGCTGTGGGAACCGGCACCTTTCTTGCCACAGCCAAATTTTGCTTGGCAGGGGTGTTGAGGCAGCCCTGGCTCTGTCTAGAGCTGTGCCCCTGCTCCGGCTGGAGGATGAGGAAGGGGAACGCCTTTTTTTCAGCAGTAGTGATAGAAAGGGCTCACCTTCCCGCTCCCTGGGGGAGCCGGGACAGCGGCTTTACTGTCAGGGGTTGAAGTGGTGCTGGGGGTGAATGGGATCCGTTGGTGATGCTGGGGAGGCGATGAAGCAAACCTCTCAGCGGAGAAGCATGCCCTGGCCTGCTGTCATCGCGACTCTGCAGAAAACATCATTCCCTGCTACCCCATACCTGCGGCTGAAGGAAGAGCTCTTTGCCTTGCTGCTGCCAAGGGTGAATGCTGTCTGCGGCCTCAGCGGAGGCAGGCGCTGGCCGCTGCTGCTGCAGATAACCTGCCTCTGCTCGGGCCCTGGGTGCTGACCGGCTCCATGCGCTGGGGCACGAGGGGACCAGGCTTGCTGCTGCAGGACATTGCCCACAGCTGCAGGCCCAGCAGCACAGCAGGGCAATAGCCAAGCTGTAATTAGAGGATGACTGCAGGGAGCGGGTGGCATTTCTTGAAAAGGCAGAGCATTCTAGGCCCAACAAGTGTGGTGCTAGCACATGAGATGAATGGGCAGGTTGCTGTGCGTGCCTCCCCCATTGCTGCACAAGTGCCTCTAATAAGTTTGGGAGGCTGGAAACAGCACGTGAACTTGTGTGTGGTGGTGCCGGACCAACTCCAAGGGGCACAGCAGCTTAGACACTGGCAAATCCTGGTTCCCATGGAGCTGCCCTTCCCAAAGCTAAAGGAACTTTTCACTTGCAGCTGCCTGCCTGCTCTTCCAACAGCTCCTGGGCGGCTGAGGCAGTGGCAGGGAGAGAGCTGCCCTGTGCATCTGCACCATTCATCAGCCCGGAGGTCCTGTGCTGAAACCAGGTCTCAGCTCGCCGTGACGGTCACCTCCTGTAAACACCAAGCTCCCCATGCCCTTGGGACTAGCTTCAACACCAGAGTCTGCAACACACAGACTGAGGCAGCCATGCAGGTAGCCGAACTACCGTGGCAGAAAGTCTAGCTGTGGCTGGGGCTGCTGCTGTAGAGAAGGGAGGCACTTTGGGAGTGATGGAAATGTGGGAGCAAGGTATGAGCTGACACAAATGTGCAGCTGGGGCTTGCTTTTGGTCTGGGAGTGTGTCCAAGTAGTATCTTAAAGCAAAAAAAAAAAACCAAAACCAAACCAAACCCAACATCAAAAAACCCACTGCTTTTTTATCCAAGCGGCCCCAAATAGCTTTGGCCTGGACCTGGAGGAGTAGAGGAGCTCTGCAGAGGGAGTAGGGACTGGAGTCGTCAAGTGCAGAGGGAGTTTCTTGCTCTCAGGGAGGCAGGAGCCAAGGGCTGCAGCCACTCTCAGCGGGCAGGAGGGATGGGCAGGCAGAGGGCTGGATGCTGGGACCAGCC